GAAATGCCACGTAAGTCACTATTAAGGAAAGAACCTTGCATGCTATTCTGGTTTCACAGATTTCCCACTCCTTCCTTTGACTAACAGCTCACTCCGCCTTCCTCCAGGCCTTTCTGCTTGCTCCTGATGGTCCTGTCCAGCTGGATCTCATGGTGGGATCCTGCCACTATTTTTTCTCACTCACTTTTTCAGTAACCTCTCAGGTGAATCTAGCCCCTGCTTCCCAGAGCTTGCACCATCCTCTGCTTCCTTCCTTAGTAGTAGTCCTCTGAGGCTTACTTCAGTTCACCTGTGAATTAGATCCCTTCTCTTCTAGGATGGAAGTCCCCAGGGCCTTTCTGCCTCTCCTGCTCCTGTGCCCTGGCCCAATGCCTGACTCACAGTTGGTGCTAGGCAAGCGCTGCCAAACGAAAGAGTGATGAATCCCAATGAATATGGATGAATGCAAACACCAAAGGCAGGTATACGTGCATGCGCAAAGGTTTAGTCTGTACTGAGTCAGTGGATTCTGCAAAAAAGTTAAGCACATTGTATTCCTTAGAAGAAAACCTGCTGCATTATTTTCACCATCTTTATTGAAGGGAAGAAATACACGTTCACACATTTTGTTGTCTGTAAAACCTGAGGCTTTAAAAAAGTCCCCCCACTGGAAATTTACTTAAGTGCCTAAAAAATAAAACAGATTAATGGCAGAATGAGTGGAGCATAGATGAATATGTATGGGGTAAAGTTTACCACAAAGCTAATGTTGAAATTAAATGATGCTTATACAGATGTTCACTATAAATTCTTTCAAATGTCACTGTTTGAAAACTTTATAAGCACCGCTTTGACAGAAAAATGATGTGTATCTTTGCTCTCAATAGAGTTTAAGCTCAAACTGCTATACTTTCTGCTCTTCTAGGATTGTACAAGACAGTAGGTGATAATTACATATCTGATAGGGAGGTTGGAACTTCAACTTGCATCTGCTTTGGAACCCACCATAGAGATTGGAGGGGCACACTTCTAGATGCATTGGGGTGGGGCAGGAGGTGTGACCTTGGAGGTCTGTGTCTGACCTTGGCCCCTTTCCTCTCTGAGACTGTTCTACTCTGCTCCCTGACCACCATGAACTAAGGAGCTTTGTCCCCCAACATCTTCTGCCATGACATTCTTGCTTTGGAGCCATCTGAAGATAGACTCAGTCCCCTGAAAACATGAGCCCAATTAAAGCTTTCCCTCTTTCAGTTGTAGATGTCTGGTACAGTGTCAGGAGCAGGAGAGCTAATGCATTCGATTTAGCAGTAAATGTCATGTGGGTCTCATAAGTAGTGGATGTCCTACATTAACAATTGGTTTTCATTTGGTTCACCATGAGCGTGGTAGGCAGAACCTTGGTTTTCTACTCCCTGTTTAGCCTGAGATCTAGTTGTTGGTCCCTGGGGATTTAAAGCCATCAAAATGTGAGGTGACTCGTGAGTGTTTCTTGTTGCAAAAGGAGAAATCCTTTTCCCAGTTGTGACTCAGAAGCCTCTTGTCTAAATGCCTTTGCCACTGTTAAAGAGACTGAATGTATTGCCTTCTTGTAGGCCGGTGTGTCTTTTCTCCCTTCTTCTTTTCCTGTTTTTCATGGGTCTAAGATGGAACAAGCCCTCATTATAATAATAATAGTAATAATGACAGTAATTAATAGTAAGCAGAATTGAAATGGGTGTTTCCCACTAATAAAACCATTTCATTTACCTGACTTCATTTGATTGTAGCAAACACGCTGTGATGCATAGACCAATAAGATCATGCACCACACCTCTGTTGCAGATGTGGAGATTGTGGTATGCAGTTTGGAAGTGACTTGGCCAGGTTCATTTTAAGGTACAAAGTTAATGAGCTGAAATTAGAATCTAAATTTCTGACTTCTAATTCCGTCACCCTTTCTTAATACCCAACCAAAAATGTAGGCAAATTATCATTACTTAATTTTGCCAGGAAGGATAAAGCTTCAGAGGAAACAGGATGTCAAGGAAAGGAGTACAAATATAATCACAGGGAACATAAGGGTTTCCCCTGGGAGGAGTTCATGTCACACCGCTGCAAACACTTACATCAATTTTGTCTTGTTCTCCTATGTTTAATGCGGCACCTACCCCTTTGGGAAGGCTAAACCTCGACTTGAGACTTTCCCATTGAAATTGTCCTGGGCTGGAAAAACTGAGGAATGAGGCGTGTGAGTTGCTTGGCAAGGACTCTTTCTAGGTGGCTGTTGTGGCCGTCTCATGTACCTCTGCTCTTCCCCTGTCTGGTCACCCATTCAGGTGGAACACACTGGTGTGGAGGGTTCAATGCCATCCCCTCTCCATGAAGCTCTTGGAGATGTCCCCCAGTGCCACCTGCTCATGTCTTTCACTGCCACTTAATTCCCTGTGGATTTGAGCCCTGCCTGTGGAGTCAGATACTCCTGGATCTGAAAGTCTATGCCGCCGATGCCTACTTGTGAAATCAAGCATGTTGCTCAGCTTCTGTAAGCGTCTGTCTTCTCCTCTATCTAATGAGATGGCACCAGCCCATGCACTTATTATAAAGATCAAATGAAAGCATGCCCATCAAGGGTACAGATCAATCTTGGTGCTTTGTATGTGCTCCTCGGCATTGGTAAGAATTTTATACAAACATTCCATTTTTGGGTATTTATTCTGTTGAAATGAACACTTCAGGGAAATATGAACCTCCCATCTTTATTGCAGCAATATTCACAATAGGTAAGATGTAGAAACAGCTTAAATGTTCATCAGTAGGTGAGTGGTTAAAAAATGTGGCACACACACAAAATGGAACTGTCTTGAGCCCCAGGAAAGCGGGAAATCCGCAACAAGCAACAATGTGGATCAATTTTAAAGACATCCTGCTAAAATAAATATGAACATAGAAGTGCTTCTAGTAAAGTTGATATGATTTATTTCTATCTAGTTGAAAGATATTTCATGAACATACTTTTGTAATCAGGAAATCTTGTAATAAGGCATCTTTAAGTAGTGGTAGAGTAAAAACTTTGCTTAATACGGTGCTATTTAGTAAAGTTCGCCATTTTCCTGAATTTATGATCTTTCCAAATTTTTCTCTCTCATCCTGCAGTGATTGGAATTTTGCCTTGGGATGGTATTGACTTTATTTTTACTGCTTGTTCAAGGTGCTCCCCAGAGTTAAAAGCCCAAAGCCTGCGGCTTTCTCAGCTTCCCAGGCTCTTGGAGTGCGGATCCCGCCCGAGCCGCCCACGGGCCCGCCCACCTCCTACTGCTCCTTCAGCTCCGGCTTCTTTCAAGTGTCATGCTCCCTTCTGCCAAGACGTCTTGGCTCCTGCTACCCATCTGGCTGGCTCCATCATTCCCCAAAGTTCTGCTCTTGCACATTTTGCCTGGGAACTCCCACTCTGGGACCCCCAATTTGTGCTTTTTGGGGGTTCCCCTTACAGCATTATCACACGTTCATAAATCTCTACAATGCACAATGTTTAGCTTGCATCTCTTCGAACACCACAGAAATGTAAAGGACCATAAAAGGCCAATACAGCTATGCACCATCATGCTGGACAACCTACCAAATACAGATAACTTCCTAGAAATAAGCGATCTACCAAGAGTAACTGATGAGGAAATAGAGACCCTGAACACATCAACGAAGAGAAAGGACACAGAAGCAAGTAAACAGACACTTCAACAAACAAAAGCTTAAGATGCTCTAGCACCCTTTTTTAAATTGAATAATTCCTCTACATAATCTATTTACATTTCCCAGATTTCTTCAAAATCATATACTAACCACATTTGTTTGAGGAACTACAAAGCAGGCTAGTTTTGACACTTAATGAGGAATTCCTTTAAGGCAATTAGACTTGGGGAGAAAGAAATCTGGCTGCCATTTCCACGGGCCAGCAGAACAGACAGCGCTTGAACTTCTGTGCGAGTTGGGGCAGGCGACACAAGAAAGCCAAATGTGGTGCCCCACCCCCACCCCCCACCCTGGAGTCGGGCAGGAGGCATCACCGCTAGGTCCACTAGCAGGAGGAATGACTGTTCCTGGCACGACTGCTGGGAAGAATCATGAAGCCCACAGGCTTCTCATCTTTCTGTCCCAGGCCCAACTGTCCTACTGTTCGTCACTGTTCCCCTTCCAACATCTCTGGCTCCCAGACCATCGGTTCTTGATTTGTAGCTTTAACATGCCTACTTAATTCCTCAGCAGCTATGAGAGACTTAATGTGCTGTCCTTGACTCAGGATTTAATTAACAAAAACAAACAAATGAAAAGGATATGCTGCAGAAATTGGAAGGAAGGAATCTTTACTGGTAGAACCTCAGACAACAGATAAATAAAATCAACAATACCGATTTGCTTAGAGCTGAGGAAGGAAGCTTGTGCTCCCCACAGCTGCGGTCAGCATTAGCAAGGCCTCCATGGTAAACAGAAGCAGGCAGAGGTCAGTGTGGTCCTGAGAGCCCCACCCCAACCCATTCTCCCTTTGTTGAAACTCCTTGGCCAGAGTCTAAGCTCCCCTCTTAAACAAGACCTAAGGGGTGCCATACTTGGAAAAGGTTTGACACAGCCCGCAACCTCCGTTGTGGAAAAGAAGCTCTTTCTTAGAGGTGACCCAGGAAGGATGTGTGGTAGTTCTGCTGCACTGGATAAGTGTCCAATTTTTACACCCACAGCAAGTTTATTCTTTAGCCAAATGAAAGACTTTTAAACCTAAAACTGCTTGATCAGTTGTTGGCTGGACTGGATGGAGGACATTCTTTTAAGGGGTTTTATAGAAATTTTAATTTTTCCATGTGGAGAAACTATTTATATATCTCTACCTCTGTCTGTCTGTCTGTCTGTCTGTCTGTCTGTCTATCTATCTATCTATCTATCTATCTATCTATCTATCTATCTATCATCTATCTATCTTCCTACCTAAGTAGGTACAGTAATCAAAATCTGAAGCAAGTATTGAAATATGTAAATATGCTTTAATTTCAATCAACTTTTAAAGAAGAAGAATCTTACATATTTGAAAAGAAACAAGTGAAAATTTGTGCTTCAACAGGAATCACTTAAAAAAATTATTCTCTTCTAAGAGCAGCCGCACTGTTCCCCAAAGGCTCTGTCAGAGGGGTTGCTTTCGGCCCACTTCCTCTGACCCCATTTTCTCTGGGAAGGTTTACCTGATTCCGGTCCTTCTGCCCTCTGGATGCTGCGATCTAACTAAGGTCTACTGATAGACAGAGTTCAAGATCATCAGGAAGAAATAAAGACAACACAGTCCCATTGCCCGCTTGCCACCCCGGTCAACGTCATCTTGTGCTTCTCCTGCTTCTTGTTTCCATCTGCCTTCGGGTACACGATGGTCATGAATCCTTGAGGCCACATGCCAGGCACAGGCAGGCATGCCAGCAGTGCCTGTTAATTCCCAGGTAAACAGCAAAGAGCTCTCTGCAGCCAGCAACCCCCTTCAGCGACGCAATGGGCTGCGAGGTACCATGTCACTCGTAGTAAGCGTCCACCCAGAGGGCTGCAGATCTCTTCAAAGCCCTGGGGGAGAAGTACAAGTGGAATTCAAGAGGTGGGCCTGTGGTGGAGCAGTTTCTTCTCCAGGGTCCTTGGCTTTCTGCCTGGCTCAGGGCAATGCCATTTGTGGACCTAGCTTATACACACCATTATCTGCTGACCAGTGGAGGATACAAACACACTGAATTGTTTTTCGGAAAAGAGTTCCGTTTTTCTTTATGGATAGCATTTGGGTTTTATCCTCACTTTAATCTGTTCTATGCTCATATGTCTCTATGCCAACCCATCTTATATCTTGACTTATCCTACTTTCTAATTAGGAAGATAGTTCTCTAGACTTGGCAATGAGGAGGACAGATGTGGCCCTGTCCCTGTGGCATTCCTGATCTGGCTTGGTAGACAGGCACAGGTGTCATCACCCACTAGGACTGAACCTGGCACCACAAGGGCATGGGATGGATTTGTTCTTGGACATCAGCGAAGGGCATGATGAGGAAAAGGAGTTTGAGATGAGCCTGGGAGAGTGAACAGGAAAAGACACTGGGAATGCAGGGCGCCAGCGATGTGAGAAGGCGCTCAGCAGAGGGCAAAGTGCCTAAGCAGGGTGGTTTGCAGCAGCTGAAGGTTAGCCAGCTGCCTGAGGTGCAGAAGGGGAAGGGGCGTGGTGGAGAGTGGAGCTGGGGCCCTGGACGTGGAGGGGTGAGAGCAGGCTGCCTTGAAGGTCTTCTTCAAGGTAGCTTTCTTTCTTGGTGGTAAAAGAAAGTTAGTAAACCCAGGCCACATGCTGTTAATCTGCTGTGCCCAGGGTCCTCTAGGGGACTGCGGGTGAGTGGCTGAGGACGAGCATAAATTTTCAGCTCCTGCACCCCTTACCCTGCAGCCCGAGCACATCTGCCCCCTGGAGCCTGAGGGTACCTGCCTCTGCAGCAGAGCACCTGAGAATTTGCAAGCTCTCTCACCACGTGCGTTCTGGAGCAGGGGGGTACTGTAGGGTGTGGGGGTACAGAGACAAATGAGACACAGTGTGGCCTTGGTGCTAAGCCGCTCGACAGTGTAGGACCGTGGGCATTTTCACTAGGAGTGCCTAGGATGGGACAGGTAGGTAGGTGGCATTTTCCCCTGTAAATTCTTAGGTTTATGTCGATCTCTGGCTGCTTCCTACTAAGTGGTTGCTGGTAGGATGGTTCTCTAGCAATGGACAGTCCAGGGACTCCCAGGAAGAGAAGGCGTGATCTGTGACTGGGAGAAAGTGCACTCTTACCTAACGATGTCTCCAAATGCCACCAGCATGGGCTTATTCACGTACTGCAACCCGTGCTTGGCACACAGGGACTTCACCAGCGGTGCCACTTTGTGGTAGTTATGGCGAGGCATGGTAGGGAAAAGGCTAGGGAAATAGATGGGAGACGTGAACGTGAGACCTAAGAAAATCCAAAGGAGATTTCCTTCCTGAATAACCAGATAAAATTACACCAGTGACGCATATCCAACCTTTACCTGGCCCAGTCCTTCTGGGGCATTCAGTCTCTTATCAAATCACTCAAGACTTATATCCTGTCACTTCTGCAAATTATATGGTAAAAACAAAACAAAACAAAACAAAACAAAACAAAACAAAACAAAACAAAACAAAACAAAAACAAACTCTCCCCAAGGGCTGGGAGACAGCTCAGTAGAATAGGTGCTTCCCTGGCAAGTTCAAGGGTCTGAACTCAATCCCCGGTTCCACCAAAAACAAAAACAAAAACAAATCATACAGACACTGAGTATTTAGGAGATAATAACAGGAACAATATTAGCTCCACTGAATATGCTTATTTTGGCCAAATTCAAGTGAAAGTGTGGGTTGTCTATCATTCTGAGTTACCTAGAAGAGCTGGAGATAACTTCCTGCCTCCCTCTGTCTCTGTCTCTGTTTCTCTTTCTTTCTATCAGTCTGACTCCTGCCTCATAAATAGGTGAGTCTGTGCTGAAGACTCATCATGGTGTATATAAGGTACCATTCTAGAAAATAAGAATAAGAAGTGCTGAGGAGATGCCTCAGAAGAATAAGTGCTTCCCTGGCAAGCGCAAGGGTCTGAGTTCAATCCCTGGTTCCACCAAAAACAAACAAACAAGCAAACAAGCAAACAAACAAAAATCCCGAAATAATAAGAAATGAAAAGGTACCATCCTATCCAGTTTTTCACTGATCAGCTGGGTGCTTTTCTAAGGTTGTGATCAACTCTTTAACAAAAGGCAAACGCTAATTTTTTTTTGTTTTGCTGAGGATTTAAAGACTACTATAAAAGAAAAGATGAAACCATCCTATGAATAAGTATCAGACCATTTTCTTTCTGTGAGTCTCTCAGGCATGGCTTAAATGAAGATGTATAAAGTGCTTTGCCTGAGCCTTATGTATTCAAGAACTATAGTCTCCTTTTTTCCAATTATTTGTACATTTTCTTTGCTTAATTTCTTATACATTTCTTCTTCTAATCTTATATGCATATATCTGGTAATATAAGCAACTGGTTGGAAGATAACACTGTGTATTGCAACAAACACTATGAAACTCATATTATTTTGTTAAGTGAAATTGTGTACCATTGTAAGTTTTTGTTTTAATTCTAATTTGTACTCTCTTTAAAAATAAAAAATAAAAAAATAAAGTGTTACTACCCTCTGTTCTCCATGACACATCTAGTTAACTGACTCTCTGGTTAATGTATTGCTAGATGCCACTGGCAAATGACATAGAAGAATCGATTTCATTGTTGATTATTTTGTAACACTGGCTCTACGGTGGTAGAGATTTAATTTCAAGTGTAATTAAGTTTCAGTAGAACTTCGTTCCCCAGTAGTGTGATTTTCCTTGGGTTTTACTAACAAACCAAATGCACCGGAAAAAAATAAGTCACCAAATTCTAAGGTTTCGCGTGGCTGACACTAAGTTACTGCTACTTTCCTGAGGCTGTACTTCATTTGCTGGCCATTGTTATGTCTTCTTCCTTTATAACTGGTGCTACTAGAAAAACTGTACATGTTAAATATTCCTTATTGTTCTTCTCTCTGAGGTTCTGAGCCAGCGGGCCCTACTTTGGACTGTATTTAGGACGCTTTCCCATGACAGTCCTCTGCCTACATGGACTGCTTCTGTGACTCACTGGTGCTCGATTTGGAAGTTCAGGTGACCCGTGAACCAGTCGTTGAAGAAAGACTGCTCAATGTTGCAGGTGGCCAAGACCTGCAAAGAGAAGGCTTGCATCAGAAACAGTGAATCCAGGCATCAGATGAAGAAAATATTTGTCTTCTTATTGAGTCAACCATCAACACGTGTTTACTGAGGACCTGTTTTGTGTAAATAAACTATGAGAAATACCGTGGACAGTCCCAGGTCTCAACAAATTCTACACTTAAATATGTAGCAAGATATTTTGCTAAAAAGTATATACAAAGCAATAGCTAGAAAAGAGCATGTAGAATTTGAAGGAGAAACTCACTATTGACTCTTAAGTACAGAAGATTATGGTATCATGGATGAAGACCCTGAAAAATGATGGGATCAGAGGACCTTGGGGTGGATCGCCATTTCCAGGGGAGTTTCAAGAACTTCTCAAAGAAGAACAAGATACTCAAGGGTCCTAACCAAGGACTGTGTGCACAGAAGTGCATTCCAGTACAATAGTGTCCTCCAAGACTAAGAATGCAGACACATGACGTTTCATTCAATGCCTCTTTATGTCCTAGTTTTTGCTGGGGTGGCTTCCACTTTCAGTGTCAATCATGGTGGTTCTACGTTAGCACTCCTTATAGTGTAGTCCACAAAATTTTGAAATAGCCAGGATATTTAATGGGATCTTCTGGGTCAAAATGATTTCACAAGATTTCTAACACATTATTTTCCTTTCTCATTCTCAATTTTTATGCTTATATGGTGGAATTTTCAAGAGGCTAAACACAGGATGGCCCCTTGAAGTTGTTATATATTAGTGTTATTATTTAAAAATGAATCTACAGGGGGCTGGTGAGATGGCTCAGTGGTCTAAAGCGCCTACTTAGAACAAGTTCAGCAAAGCACAGGGACCCTGGTTCAATCCCCCAGCACCACATGCCAGCCAGCCCCGCCCCCTGGTGGGCTGAGCTGGCCACACACACACACACACACACACACACACACAAATAAATAAAATTTAAAAAAATAAATAAATAAAACTATTTAAAAAAATGAATCTACATATGTTTAAAATTTTTCTCATGTTAAACTTCAAATATAGATCTCAAATGGATATAATTTATATAAATGGAAACTCTTTGAGTCATTAATAACATTTAAGTGTGTAGAGTTTTTATTGCTTTTAGTCATTGTGAACCACATGGAAGGCATGTGAACAACCAGGGCTCCGCCAGGTTGGTGGAGGGATTTTTCTGACTTTCTTACAGTAGCTACGAACACAGTTATGGCAGCATGTTATTTTAATTATCTCTCTCTCTCTCTCTCTCTCTCTCTCTCTCTCTCTCTCTCTCTCTGTCTGTCTGTCTGTCTGACAGGATCTTGCTTATGCAGTTCAGGCTGGCCTTGAGCTCAGTTTGTATCCCAGACTGGTCTCAAACTTACAACACTCCTCCTGCCTCAGCCTCCTGAGTGCTGGGCTTACAGGCATGCTCCATCACACCCAGATTAATTGAATTTCTTAATGTAACTCCATGCCAGCATAGTTACAACCTAAGGTGAATGAAAAAAAAAAAAAAAAAACAAAACAAACCTCTAAGTGGTTTGCTCTACTCATTATTTTCAGGGATTTGCAAACAAGACAAGGGGAAATATTAATACATCCTTCTACAACAGAAGGCAAAGAGAGCCAATGGGGAAAATGTTCATAACATATATTATAGACAATGTGTTCAAGTTTTCACCTTGTAACCAAATACTGAAACTCAAGCAATGTGTAAATACTCAGAACAATAAGTGCTCTGGCAAGCAAATCACAGAAATAGAAAAATAAAAAGGCATCAAATATTTGAAAAGAAATCATCCTAATAAAGATTAAGTTAATGATAAATGCAAACCAAAAAATAAGAAATGGTTTATGATAAATAGATGGGAGAAGGATTCCCCTATATCCTTCAGGGAGTCCTCGAGTTTGCATATGAAGTTGGAGATGCTCTGAAGAGCCAGCAGAAAGGGCTGGGCCTCAGGAGCTGGGGGTGCCGCGTTGATCATGCCTCTGTAGGCCTTAGTGGTGTGCCTGGTCCTGCGCTGCAATGTCCTGTCTATAACACAGAATGAGGTCCTTCCAGGTGTAAGACTCATTCTGTAATTTTAAGGTCTCAGATTCACTCAAAAGGCTATGCAATGTGAGAGATTAGGGGAGTCATCAAGCCTTTTCTGTACTGCCAGATAGGAAATACTTTGATTCTTTTAGAGAGATTCAGTTCTTCTATTGTAGCATGAAAACACACAGATAATATGTGAATGAACGAACATGGTTGTGTCCCAATAAAACTTTACTTACACAAACAAGCAGCGAGCCAGATTCGGCTCCTGCGTTGTAGATGACGGGTTCTTAGTTTAGAGGAGTCTCTATCATCACACTGCTGGGGAGGTCTGCCTATGTCACTGATTAGTTGTGCCCTAATACAAGTTGCTGGGCCTTTCTGTGCCTTGGCGTTTTTGTCTTATAAAGTGAGAATGTGCCTGGTTCCTACTTTGAAGCGTGGTGCCTGGGCTCTGGGGCGCGTGCCACAATACTGTGCCATTCGTGGACGAGGTGAGCGGATGCTGTCAGCCTGGGTGCAGGCCCCCCTGGGGATTCCCACCCTTACCTGGGTGCTGAGCCAGTCTCGGTTCTCCTCTCTACTCATCCTCATGGGAATGTGGCTCATCTGGGTCACATATGCGATCCAGGGGCTTTCAAGCAGCCTTTGGGAACAAAAGCGGGGAGCAGTGATTCTCAAGGGTGTTACAGCTGCGCTTGCCGGGCTTGCACAACCTTGGTCAGAGCTGGCTGAACATTGGAGGACACAAAATAAGTTCCAAGATTACAGCGAGCAGGAGGCTTTCGTGGACCTCTTGGATGCCTTTCACTCTAGAGCTGACACACAGACGGCCATCGCACTTGCCCTGTTTCCTAACTCATAGAAGCAGTGTCTCCAAAGACTTGTGCAGCTCTAATCAGGGATGAAAAAGCCACCAGCGTCTCCAAGAACACAGGCAAAGTGTTGCCAGTCTGCGCCTTGCCTCCAGGTGGAGCTGGGTTCAAGTTCTATCTTGGCACCTGCCTTGGTCCTTACGTGTGCAGTCACGTTAGGCAAGTGATTAAATCTCTCCAAGCTCCGCCTCCCTTAGCAGAAACATGGAGACGATGCTATCTCTGTTGTTGGACTTCACTAGGATTACATCAAACAAGATGTAAAGGCTTTAACAGGCTCTGATGCAAAGTAGCTGTCATGCCCTAATTATTGAGGCTTTAGAATAATAATCAACAAAACGAGGAATAAAAAATAGGAAAGTCGGAGAGGGCCCTTTAGGCAGAACAATGACTTGAAGTCATTTTGGTTTTGGAGGGAAAAAAATCTGTATTTGTAAAGTACCCTTAAAATCTGTCCTCTCATGACTACTGGTGGAAGTTATGGTATCTAACTAAACAAAAGTGTAAAGACCTAGTGACAATCTGAAATGCTGCGCTTGGGAGTAAAGCAAGGCAGAAAAACGAGATTGGGCAAATTTTTTGCAATTAGCTTGTCTCGCGCAACGACTTCTACTATTGTTTTCTTTGTTTTTTGTTTTTGCTTTTGCATTCCTTAAATACTTCAGTTCTAGCCAACGCCATGCTGTCCTAATCTTTGACTTCTCTCACACAGCTCTGACCAGGAAGGTAATAGGGCAGTCTGGGCAACGGAAGTAAAAGCACAGTCTTACTTGACAAAATATATGAGCAACAGGGTTCCAAAAATTCCATAGAAAGGGCCAAATGTGATGAAATGCCGAATGTAAAAGCTGATGACGAACGCAATGTCCTGCAAGAGAAAGCACGGAACGTTGGATACCCCAGGCATTTCACTTCCTCCCCACTGGGCTGGGCTTCCTTCACGTGTCTTATATCCTGTTACCCCAGGAAGCACCAAACATTTCTGCACCACCCTCTTCTACCCGGTGTAGCTTCTATAATGAGTCAAATACTCACCACCCAGTACTTTCGAAGGTACATCACTTGCATGGACTGCACATTAAAATACCCAGGCATGAGCAAGGGGAGCCCGACTGAAGAAGAATAACAAAAAAAGATAGTGAAAAAAATGAGCAGAACGCGATCTCTATGCAAGCCTGTAGCTGTCTATCTCTTTAACACGCCACTCCCAGCCTGAGAAAGGAAGGAGCGGAGATCATCCACTGCAGCCTGGACTCCCTCGGGCTTTCCAGATTCAAGAGGCTGAACCAGGCATTTGGGCAGTAGCTCCAGGGTCAAGTACTTTCAGGGCAGTTAGGGACACACTGAAGATCTGTGTTGTTCTCATGCCACTGAAAACAAAGAGAGTGTGACGCTCTTTTGGCTTTGGGCCCCTCATTTTTTTTCCAGTCCAAGCTCGGGTATATGAGCCTGATCCCCTTTTTCTTAGATCATTCATTTTAAAAATGTGTTGTTGCAAATTCTTCTTTTCTCCCTTTGAGACAAATAGCTTCTATCGGTCAAGTCCTCGGAGTCCTTCCATTGAAATGCTGCCCTTAGGAAGGATGGGCCTGGTCTCCCAGCCTCTGCAGGAGGGTCGGAGCCCACCACCCCTAAGCACTAATCGGCAGACATTGGCCTAACCTACTTGCACTTACCAAGGCCCCCACCCCAACCCCATCTCTCGGAGTCTTTCCGTTTTATTCTTTAGCATGCCCAAATGTTTCACATCCTTGCTTCCACTTCCGTTTCACAGTTACTCTCAGTTCACACTCAAGTATCTTGTCCATTGTGGAAGTCTGAGTAAAATCTGTCTTCCTGTCCTTAACAGTTTTCCAGCCCTGTGTCTTTGGGGCAGTTTGAATTACACCTTGTTTGTACCCAAGGTGCCGAGCTGGCATTTGAAGAGAAAAGACATGCTGACGCGGTTCTTGGAGCAGTGGCGCTTGTGAGGTGGGCATTCTGTAGCGAGTCCTCACTCTCTGCTCGGCTCTCCTCTGCTAAGGGCAGATTGCATCTCTACACAGAGAGCAGACACATGTTGTCCACAGAAGTTCAGGAAAATAAATGCTTTCTTGCAGCTGCATATTAGGTAGGATGTAGTTAGCTTCCTTCCCCAATGAAGCACACCGAAGCCCCTATTCCTCTGTTGGGCTTTGCAAGAGAAGGGGCAGAAGGTGAGTGAGTGTGTGTGTGTGTGTGTGTGTGTGTGTGTATGTGTGCGTAAAACTAAACACAGCTGTGCAACAGACAACAGCAAGGTGTGGCACATTTCAAACCATATGGCCACGCTCCTTGGCCCGTGCCAACCAGTCGCCAGTGGCCCGTATGTAGCAGTTCACCTTACCTGCAGGGGCTTTTCTAGCCTCTGCCCTGCTGGCACTTGGGGCAATATAGTGCTGTGTTATGGGCTCTTCTGCACAACATAAGACATCTGACAGCATCTCTGCTTTCTATACAAAGGGTGTCGTACCACTGCCCATCAGCGTATCTCTAGACATTGTCAAATGTCCCCGGTGGAGAAACCTGTTCCCCCCTGAGCATAGACACAGTTTCGCTCCTCCCCTGATGTTGGTATATGTCCCAAATGTGCAAGTGTGCATCAAAGGAGCAGAGTTCTTGGTGAACTCCAAGTCCTGAGTTGAGCTTGGTGCAGGAGGGCAGGAGGGCAGGAGGGCAGGAGGGCAGGAGGGCTGAGGCTCCCTGATGAAGACATTCTTTCACTGCTATTAGAACTGCTCAGGGAAGCTTATTTGCTTCCAACCCTGGCCAACACTCGTGCATGTGGAGATGCATAATCCTGCATGGATCTCACGTACTCTGGTTTAGACCTCGCCTATTCTAGATCTGCATGTAGGTTGTGGGAACAGCAAGCTTTCTTCCACAGAGAAGTACAGGCATGACTTTTGACTCTGGCTTCCGCTTCACTGGCAGCGCTCTATAAGGGCTTCCATATTGTTTCCCCCTCTCTTTCCTCTCTACACAAAGCCTGCATTCTTTTCCCTCAGTCACTTTTAGCCTTTTGCAGACATGAGTCCTGGATACAGGTCCTCTTCTTGGCCTTGTGCCTTCCCATCCTCACGGGTCCCTCCTCCCTCCCTCCCTGCCCAAAGCCCAGAGGGATGAGCTGCCTGTTGGAAATGCCCATTTGCGTTTCCCCTTCCTGTCCAGACTTCTGCGCGGGTGGGTCTGAGCCGAGGTGTGCTGGCTTCCTCAGTGGCAGTGAGATGAGCTGTTCTGTGTGGGCCGAGTCCAGTCACACCTCCTGGCTTGACAAGTACATACATGATGGAAATCAAATGATAGGGAAAGTGACTCTAGGGAACTCACCCATGTAGAAGTACAGGTGCTGCTTTTCATAGTTGATGTACTTGATTTTCTTCTTTCCATACTGAATGGAATAAGAATAAAACATAAAATAAGAGACCACACTTCTGGCCATCACTCAGGTGTGTGTGTGTGTGTGTGTGTGTGTGTGTGTCTGTGTGTGTGTGTGCATGTGCATGTGTGTGTGTGTGTATGTGTATGTGTGTGTAAAATCTGTATAGATAGAAACATCTGATTAGTGTTCCTTGGCTGTCAAACCTGAGATACTAGAAGAACCAGAACTGAAATGGGAGTAAATATTTTGGCATCTTTTTGCTTTAATCACACATAGGCAATTTTTGCACAGATGGATGATTCCATATTGTTGTGAGCATTTTGAGCTCTTTAAAAAAATTCTTATGGAAATCACTTTGAAATTTGTCCTCCTTGTGGGCAGTGTGTGGGCACCGCACAGGGACAGTGTGGTGAGATTTTCTAGCTCTTCTTTAGTCATAGCGTCAGGCTTCTGCCTGCAGCAAGGTTCCTTAATTTCGCCTAATTTGTGCTGCTGTAATTTGGATGTAGAATGTGCCCACAGTCTCATGTATTCATTTAGGGTGGAACTTTTGGGAATGGCTGGATCTAGGGGTGGTGTTCTCATGATCCATTCATTGATACGGGAGCAGTGGATGCGCTGTTATGAGGTGTGGGCTGGTTGAGGTGGTCCCTGGGGTGTGACCCGCAAGGCACCATGTCCCCAGCTCTTTCTCTCCCTGCTTCCTCGCTGCTTTGGAGCAGGCGGCTCTTCCTCCCTGAACTTCCCACTGTGCACTTTCTGCCTCGGTGCCGCCAGCCATGGACTGAACCCACACAAACTGTGAGTGAAGCAGACCCTGCTTCCTCTAAGTTCCGAGTGTCAGGGAGTTACCCCAGCTACAGGAAAGTCATTGCTTATGAAATGGTCATGTGAGTAAGGGACAGACATGACCTGTCCCACCTGCCCATCTTTCCTCTTTGCTCCCCTCCATGGCTCTGACATGGTGACTTGTAGCATTATAGGACACTTACACATATGTAGAACTTTTACTGTACAGCAGCATAAACTTATTCTCCTTCCTATGGAGGATGACTCATTTCCAGGATTTCACTTGTTTAACATGGGCAGTGCGGAGGACACGAATGCTTTGAGAGGAAGCATAGGAGGGAGGGCTGCATCACTACTGTTTTTTAAAAAATGTATTTTAGTACAGGGTCTCACTACACAGATTAGACTCAGTGATTCTCCTGTTTTCAGCCTCCCAAGTGCTGGGATTATAGGTGCGCACCCCCATGCCCAGTCTCAGTTGTCGCCCTACGGGCAGGGCCAGCACAGCATGCAGGAAATGAACCCTGGTCTCTGCATCTGCCTAAGCAGGTGCTTTGGTCTCCTGAGCTATCTGCCTGCCCTTGCATCTCTATCCTTAATGACAGTGAGTGTTTATCCATTGAAGGAATAAACAATAATTCATGCCCACTCTGTGTTTTTGTACATTTACTCTGTTCTACACTATGAAGAGCACTGGCTCTTCTTTTTCTTGTTTGGTGTCTCTCTTCCTATATCTGGATGTTTTTCCTTTGTTGCAACAGTGTAGGTGGCCTTTTTTTCTCTTACTGTCACAAATAAGAAGCTGTGTGGTGATGAAGTAATGATGGCCATTTTCAGTTGCTCCCCAAACTCCAAGTACGTAAGGGGTAAGAAACAAGGAGAAGGGACTGATTCCAAGTGCCCCGGCGTTAACAGGCCCAGCACTGTCTTTTCTAATGGGACTAGCATTAGCAGAGACAGCTAGATACTTAGGTGTTGGTGGTCTAGTGCTTACTGACTGTACTGATCTCCTTGTCTTCATGAGCTGTCCATATCCTTGCTAAGGGTTGAGAGTTACGCCACCCTTGGTCACCTGGCTCCACTTTCTATCATTTGCTTATGTTGCTTCAGGGATGGTGATGTTCATTGGGCAGAGATCCCCGTGGCATTGGATTGCTCAAGCAGAGTGACACAGGTCATCATAGTATCTGCTCTAAGAGGTTGGACTGGCCGACCTTTAGGGTCACAGAGTCATGACTCCAAGTCTGTATCCTGAACATAAAGGGACAAAGCAGTGCTCTCACACTGTGTGTGAAGCCCGAACTCTAATCTTGATCTTCACAGATAAGGAACAAAGCCATTCTAGGCATCCCTCCGAATAGCTTGCATTGAGTGTCTGGGGTAGGTAAGCATACCTTGACAGGCTGGGACTCTCCAAGCAGGAACAGTGGGCCCATGTCAATATCCGGGTCTTTGGGGTAGATGTTTGGCTTGACATGATGTTGGGAGTGTCGGTAATTCCACCAGTTTGCAGACAGGCCCTAAGTGTAAGAGAAGAATGACTAGCTCAAAGACTTCGCTTCCCCAGTACCCGTTACTGTCAGAGCTCGCTGCATGTCTCCTCAAAAGTGAAGATATGTGAGCTTCTCAACCTTGTCCTCCTGCTGGCCCAGAGAATGAATTATTGGACTGGGGCTCTTGTAGCGTATGAAGAAATGATCCTTGGATACAGGGCTCCAGCCTAAAGCAACTCTTGAGAATCAAAATATGAACCTGGCTGGAGAGGATTATTTCTCTGTTCTTCTCATGCTTGATCCTCATTTTGAAACATTTTGGAGGTAGGAGGAGCAGGGAGTATGATTTCTGCCTTACATATAAAGAAGCCACAGCTCTGAGACTTTCATTAGTTCTGGGAAAAGCAGCCCCAGGTATCCTACTTCAATGAGTATTTCAAAGACTCGAGAATCTGGAGTGCTCTCCTGGGTGGTGGGGGCTTGGCTAAGAACATTGCGCACCCCAGAATCACTGTTCTCTGCAAAGTAAGTGAGAAGAAAACACTTTAGCTGATGCTAAGCTTGAATCACCTCTGATTAGCGTGTGACTTTTTTCCCTCACTGAAAGTCTGAAGGTTTTAATCGAGAGAGTGCTTTGAAGAATATCAGCTACTTTTGTAGGCTGTGTGCTTCAATGCTTCAATGTGGTTTGGGCAAATCCCCACCTCTTGAAGCTCAATTCCACCATCAAGAGATGCACTGTTATCATGTTTATCTTCATGAGGGGCTCAGGGAGATACGACACGCTGTATGTAAAATGCTGGTGCCCTGAGATGTCTGCCCTATTCTTATGTATGTTCATCATTTGCAGAAAAATAAACAGAAGCAGTAGTTTCTTTACTGTATATTTGCTGGCCTTTAATAACTGGTCTATACATGTCCTAGACCTGCGCTGGCTAATGTAGTAGCCGCTGGCTGCATGGACCTGGTTAAATAGGCTGTGAGTATGAACTGCGTGCTGGATGTTGAACATTCAGTATGAAAAAAGGAAATAAAAACATGGGATTAGTAATTTTTATACTGATCACATCTTGACTTAATTTTGAATGTGTAGAGGACAATAGTGGTACCTTTTGAATATGATTGCTGGGAAACTTAGAAATGACCTAGTACACTAATATGGCTAGCGTATCTCGTCTGGAGAGCGCTACTCTGGGCGCCTTGTGTCTGTGACGGGAGGGAATAAGTATCTTTTAAGGCTGCACATGTCACAGTCTGTAGCATTCCAATCCCCCACGTATCCCCAATCACCTGGAGCAGAATTTGCCTCTCACCTCTAACACAGCTGAACATCTCTGTAGCAGAATTGTTTCTTTAGCCCTAATCTCTCTGCTTATTGCATGCTGGAATGGGAAGCCAGCTTCCTAATAATTTCCTTTCGGCTGTCTTACAAGATCTCGGTTTTCAGACTGGACTCATCAATTTCCATCCTCCTCCCACCGGGGCCATTGTCTTCCATCAAGCCGTCTCTGGCTCGTCACCCTGTGCATTGCACACGCACCGATTTATCTGCCCACTCACTGGCTGTTTTGAAGTCTGTCCTGTGTGTCAAATGCTGAGCTACACATTTGTGATGTCAAGGCAGACATGACAAAATGAGGATCCTACACTTGCAAGCATACAATCTCATGGGAGCAGTAGAGAGTTAAACAAAACAGTGTGGAAAATGAGTCTCTCTTTACATGGAGAACCGACATTTTTGTTTTTTCTGCTGGCTGACTGCACTTTTAATAAACGTGCATCTGTGATAATGGGTGATACAGGTTTCGGCTCTCAATGCTTGATTCTCAAAGTCAGCACGAGTGTCAGCCAACATCTGGAGGCAGCTTCAGTTGGGCCCTCCGTCTAGAAGATGCTTCTCTATGATAAGGAAGAGGATCATCCTGATCTGCCACTCATGTTCTGAGCAGCAGCAGCCCTCAGTTGTCTGCAAGCTAAAGTGAGCTCTTCTCTTGGTGTACAAGGAAGAATGTGGGCTTTAGGTCAAAGTCAGACTGAGCTTCAATTTCCATTTGGCCACCTACCAGCAGTGTGATTTGGACAGTTCACGTGGGAGGCTACCAAGGTTATAGGAAGCAGCATGTTGGGCGCTGCCCGTCCTCTACCCTCAAAGGCGTCAGGGGGGTCTTAGTCTCAAACACCCTACTCCATTACTCTGATTGCTCTACTTAGTTTACATTGTTTTCAAAATTTCAAACCTGAAGTCTGGGGATGGAGGCTGGAAAAATATGCTACAGGGAATTTATTCTGAGTTTAGTGCAGTTCAAGTGTCTCCTATGCGAACTTTGGGATTACAACAATTTTGAATTTCAAATATTGTTGGATTTGGAAATATTTGCATAATAAAATGAGATGTCATGGTGACTGGCCACTCTCCTAAATATGGAACGTATTTATGTTTCATGTGTACCTTACCCATAGAGCAGAAGTTAATTTTACATATTGTAAAGAATTCTTTTGCATGAAACAAAGTCTTACGGTGTGGAACTTTCCACTTGTGTCTTCCTGTTGGTTCTCAAAAGTATTTTGGAGAAATTAGGCTTTTGGATTTTCAAATTAGAAATGCCTCAAAGGTCCAAAATGTTTGTTTCATACCTGTACTGTGAAAACCCTGAATTTACTTATCTTTTTATAGCCAGTCACTGAAAATCTCAAAGAACCTCACTAGCCTCTGTGCCTGCCCTGGCGAGGGGAAGGACTGATATTAGGTCAAGGTCTGGAACTTTAAATCAGGGTCGTGTGAAAGCTGGAATGTCACGGCTTCTCCTTTCCTCCCTCGATGGCTTCCCCCTCCCTTCCTCCCCACCACTGGCAGTTCTCTCTTCTGTACAGATCTGAAGCCTATATTCACTTTGGGAATCATGGAGCTATGATTGCCAAAAGTCAGGGGGCTCGGCCTTTGCTCTACAAGCCATCTTGCATTTTCCCATGTTGTTCATAAGTCATCGAAGTTACTTAGACTCAGTTCAGCTAGAGCAGAACTGCCCCAGGGGGCACTGGAGGCAAAGACTTGTGTTCAGAGTTAGGCTCATGGGAAAGCCCTGATTTTCGTTCGTGTCAGCCAGGGTGGGGCTGATTGGCAGTACACCACACACTGGCATCAGATCAACTGCGGTGACAGGGCAGAGGACACCTCTCCTGACTCCCAGCACAGCAGCCTGCCTCTGCTTTCATCCCAGGGGAATTGTTTGGAGTCCAGAAACACACCCTCCTCTTGTCCAGCATGGGTGGGGACTACTTGTCACGTAAAATGCCAGTTTATTACTCATTCTAACCATTTTGAGGAACAGATTCATGTCTAGTAGGAGTCTGAACTCCAGTGCTGTGCTGTTTAATCTCTGTTTGCCTTTGTCTGCTCCAGGGAAAAGGCAGCAGGCATAAGTATCTTGCAAGTCACGGATGCTGCGCCTTATACTCCAATAATCCCGTGTCCCTAGCACCAGCATGGTTCAACATTTTTCTTAATGATTCTTGAGCCTCCTCTTGATTAGGCAAAGGCTGTGTGTAATATTCAGAACACTGACAAATGCTAGGCGTTTCCAGGCACCGTGGCAGGCCCACATCACTCATCAACTCGTGCTCACCAGCTGAAGAAACTGCAGTTTGAGCACTCTTAGAAGCCTGCGCTGTCCGCGGCACCGCACCAGCAGCCCAGGTGCAGCTAGCCTCGCCCTCTGACTTTCCCAAATGCCTCCCAGATTCCACCAGAGTGGGACTGAGTCAGGACATCGGAGGTGGAGTTGGGGATCTGCTTTCGTTTCGGGTCCCTTCCAAGGATAGCCAGAATGGAGCCCGCACTGATTAACGCTGAGCCCTGAGCCCTGCATTTAGCAGCTGGCAGACACCGGCTTCCATGGCTCGCACCCCTTTAAAGACCCGTCACCACTGAAAAGGAAGGGCGCTGTGATTCTCTCCCTGTGAGGCGACCTGCTCCTGAGGGGATGGCTCTGCCAGCTGCACACAGCACGCCCTGGTGGCTCAGGGGAGATCCCAGCTGTGCTCCCTCCCTGTCATTTGCTGTCTGTGGTTTCAGCTCTCCGGCCACGGCCGTGGGCCAGGCTCCCAGTTCCTTGTCTCTTCATAGTTGGCCGCCTGCAAGCTTCCAAGGACTAAGGACGGGGAACCAAATCACCAGGTGTGCTTTGTGTGTGTTTATAATAATAGACAAGTCCTGGGGATGAAGGAGGAACAGAGAGCTGTGAGACAGTGCCCCAGGACTTTTCCTGGAATGGAAGGGTTTGCTTTCACGGCAGGCCCAGAGGCCTGGGCCAGAGGGAATAGTCCTACATCCTACAAAGCTATAGAAGAGTAGACATTCTGCTCAACTCCTAATAGTGCGATGTCACACTCACGGGCAGAGATAAAACGTGCTTTACTTAAGACACACAGTGGGTAGTGCCGCAGCCAGCCCTTGGAGCGGTTCCAGACATCCCGTCCCCTGTCCTGGCTCACTCACCCCTACATACTCCTTCCATCACTGCGTGCTGATTGAAGGCCCAACGCATGACAGGAGCTCTGCTGGGAGCCACACAGCCTGCGTGCCTGCCTCTTGGGGAGCAGCGAAGGGCTGCTACCACCACTGCTTGCTCCTTCCCTGAGTCTGGGGCTTGCAATCTGCTGCTTAGAGACATCTGGCCTGCTAGTTCTGTTGATTTTGATCTGTTCTTCTGCATCCGTGTCTTCATTTCTTCAGCCTTACCCTTCCAAATGCAATGTTGCCTCCTGGACTACCCACCCAAAAGGCACATCCCTTCTAACAACATACACATTTGTGATTTTACAGTGCACATACTCATGCGTAAAATAAGGTACACACTTTTTTTCTGTGAGATAGTTCCTTGGGGCATTAGGGGTGCCAGGAATTGCACCAAATTGTCTGTCAGATTAGTGAAAAAAATGATAGGGTTTTTAAATAAGAATAAACATTTTTCTTATTAAAATTTAAAGTAATGATTTAGCCCATACTTTATGATCTCATTTGACATCTCAGTGTACAGAGTCCTCATCATTAGTCCCACCACATTTATTTGTGGGGTGTTGTAAACACGTTTCACTGATTAGAACACAGAGATACAGATGCCGCTGCCTCAAGGAGTGATGTTCAGCATCATCCACCCCCCCCCCGCCCTCCTGACACCCGTACCTTGAGGTGGCACATGACAAATTTGTGCATCAGATGGTTCCACTTGGACTTCTTAAACATAGAAAGGTGCCCTATGTCATGCTGCAAAAATGAGCTCTGCGCCTAGGGGAGACAAAGTGGTTGAGGAGCAGGAAGTCAAGGAGTGCCCCGCAGGCTCTCTGGTAGCCTGCCCCCGAGGGACAGGAGCTCAAGGGCTCCTTTGTCCTCCCACCATGGTTAGCTTCGCACACAGCCCATGCTCTTCCTTGTCACTCTCCCTTCGGGCAGGTGGTTCTCCCAGCCTGGGATGCTCTCCTCACCTCTCCCCAAATCCTCTAGTGTGGGCTGCAAAATCCACAGAGTTTGGAAACAGGCAGATTTAGGGTCTCCACCAATTATAGCTGCAGGACTCTGGTGTGTGGCTCAGTAGCCCAGGTGCTGAGTTACTTATTGGTGCATGCAAACAATAGTGCAGACCCCTGGGGGGGGTGTGTTAATGCAGTTTGTGTAGCCCAAGGTGCCCAGTGCATGTTAAGCATTAGAGAGACCTTTCTCTTTCCATCTTAGAGAAGTTGCTTCCCTAAGAACAAAGCAAGTTGGTTTTTATTTATTTATTTAATTATTTATTTTTTTGTGGAACCGGGGATTGAACTCAGCCCCTTGCACTTGCCAGGGAAGTGCTTATTCCACTGAGCCATCTCCCCGGCCTCAGCACATTGGTTTTTAAAGAAAAAAAAGTGACATAAAAATTCTGCAATGTAGAAACACGTTTGTGCTGTTTTTCTGCAGAATGTTCCTCAGTTGTCCCATGAGAATTCAATGCCCCTTTCTGCTCCAACAGCAGCATGTGCTCTTCCAGCCTGTCGGCAGCCGCCCTACTCTGTTTCACAGTGTGTTCAGCTGCGCGCCTCTCTGTCTCTATTCCTGAGTGACTCCTTTCTCTCACTCAGGGTGTATATGAGCTTCCCTCAGATCTGCAGCGCAGCCTTGTGCTTGCAGGAGGCCATGGTTAGAGACTTGCATTTTGCTCAAGAGGGATTAATCAAAGGCCCTCCTAAGCACCAAGTTGCATTTGCCATTTGCAAAGGAATGCAGAGGCTTCGCTTCTCTCATACTAAGGTGTGGCCTCTGCCCTTAAAGAATTTAGGGTTTAATTCCTTGGTAAATGTTGGTAGGTTAAAAAATGAATGATAAAGGTGAATAGTATACAGCTAAGGGTATAAGTTTGGTTCAAAACATTGGAGGAATAAAACAGGATAAAGAGAAGCAGCCACCGTGAGAGAAACCCCACAGCACCTACCAGGCAGGACACTAGGATGTTTACTATGTGGAGCATTCTTCAGAATAATTCTGTATTGATTAGTATCTTCCTTCTAGAGATGAAAGAACTAGGGTCCAGATAAGTGCAGTGACTGATTAGTGTCCCCCTGCCCTGCCCATTAGCAAGCAGCAAGCAGCTGCTAACTCCCATCTAGAGAAAGAAATGTCACCCAGCCTTGCCCCGGGGCCACAGCCCAGTCGTTGTTTACCTGTGAAATTGTGAGAAGAAAGGAAACGAAGGTTGTAACAGTCCAGCCACTGCCAAAATGACACAGGATGAGCCAGGCCAGGACTTCTAAGATCAAGATTTGGGCGAGGTGGAGAAAGAAGAACCCCAGGTGGGCGTCAAACATGTTCATCGCCTCCAGCGTCCTGCGAAGCTCTCGAAAATCCTCCACCAGCTGGGGCTGCAAAAGGAATACTCAAGGGTGTTGTAGGGAAAGGGAACACAAGGAACCCCAGAGTAATTCACTTTATTAACTTGGCAACAAAACTTAATCAGTGTAATTTCATGAATATGAGCAGATTTAATTGTAGAGAGTTTAAGACAAAGAAACAAATGGAATCTTTGAAAAAAGGTGATTTTTTGGTTTCGTTTTTGAGAAAGATGAGTAGGGAGTTGTGAACTCCTCCCTATTAAGGAACTCTGTGAGGAGTAGTTTTGTGGAGAGAAGGAACATTTGACAGGCGCCTAAGCTTAACAGTTGCCCTTTAGACTGTCAGTGTCACTGAGGCACTGGCTGAGCTTTGGTGATGGCAGAGAAACTTGGGGTCTACATGGGTCAGCGTTACCATGGTTACAGTGTCATTTGCCCAGCACGTTTCTAGTCTTAGCTGTTGAATGTGTCCAGGGGACTCTTCCAGAGAATGGTGGGCACAGAGCCACATAGTCCCCTTACCTTAGCTCTAGGGAAGTGTTTCATTCAGAACTTTTCAGCGGATTCCAAGAAAGGACAGGGCTGCTACTGGCATTGATGCTGGTTGGCTTCTCAGGGTACTTCTGAATAAGTGTGTGTGTGTGTGTGTGTGTGTGTGTGTGCGCGCGCATGTGTGTGTTTATGAGTGACTCTAGCTGTGCCTTGCAAGCTCATTTCACCTCTGCAAGGGATAAGAATAGTGCCATCTGCCTGAAGCAGCATTTGAAACCAGGACATCTAGAAAATGACCAGGGTGTGAAAAGAGAAAACAAAATATTAGGGTTGTACAGCTGGAAGGAAAGAGAAAACCTGAGAATGAGAAAGAGCTATGAAAGTAGAACTAGGGGCCAAATTTCTCATTAACGGTTTTGCTTATATAACTTCGAAAGGATCCACTGGTCACCGGACGTTTGGATGGACTGTTCTCCCAGGTCCTTGTTGACTTTGGAATTCTGGTGGCCAGAGATGACTGTAGTGGTTGATGTCAATCAGTCATCCGAGGCGTGCCCAGCCCAGCTTTCTTTCCCAACCTTTTGACAGTACAGGAGTGAAAAGGCACTGTGCACCAGCAGGGTGGCTGGCCTGCGTAACCAGCTGGGTGGGGGCTGGCCTGGACTTCATCCCTGCACCACTTCATGCTCACACCCAATTTTCCCTAGACAGCAAGCTGAGTGAGTAGAGGCCCAAAACAAAGTTTGCAGTAGATGTTTATCCTTGGAGTCCGGCACTGTGCTAAGTAATGGTTATCACAGCGCTCTCCAGCGTAAGTAGGCTTTGTTTGCGGAATATTTTAGGCATATTAATTGACCTCTATATCAGTTTTTTTCCTTTTAGCCTAGGGCCACCTTCCCCAAATGATGGAGGTGTGTCTGGAGGCCTTTAAGTTTCCAGTAACAACATTGGGTTCAGGATGATGACCATGTCTAAGCTTTCTTGAGTGTTTACTATATTCTAAATACTTGAAATAATCTTTTTTATCTCTTTCTCAGTAACTCTTATGAGATTGGTGCTCATGTTGTTTTCTTATAGAGAGAAACTGAGGTTCAGAGAGGCTCCTACACCTCTATACCTGTGCAGTTTTAGGGTGGTAGGGCTGGGGTATGACTTCTACCCAGCCATCCTCAGACCCCAATCTCCTAAGCACAGCAGAGCTGCCGATCCCACAGCTGTGTGGATGAACTCTGGCCTTGGGAGCGAGCGTGTCAGTCTCAGACCTAGACGGAGCCAGCCCTGTGTCTCCAGATTAGTCCTGCTCCTTGTACTCCCTCAGGGAGTCTGGATCCTCATTTCGTACAGAGCAAAGAAAGTCCTCACTCTGGTCCACAGTGTATGTGAGTCAGCTCTGTGGGCAACAGACTTCAAACAAAAACACAAACAAAACAAAAAAAAAATCTAAGAAGTAGACAAATGCAAGTGCTGATAAAAATAAATTGTAAAAGATGGAATTGTTAACCATGAAGTAAAAGCACTTTAAGGTTTATATCAAACCCAAACCACGCAGGTCAACTTTTAGTCTAATGGAGACCCTCTCCTCTCCAGTAATTCATGTAGCTTAAATAGTAAGGAAAGACAGGCATCTACCTGGGGGCCAGAGAGAGGTAACATAGAGCTATGTTTCTTTGCTGAACCATCTGTAGGAGCTTCAGAAAATAATTTATTCTGCAGGAATGATAATGCCTCAAGTGTGAATGGAACAGTAGTTAGGAGATAATTACATCCTTCATTCAACAATGATTTATGGGTTTCCCATTGCATGTCTCACCCTGGTCTGCAGGTCACAGGGTGGGGAAGAGAGATGTGTTCTCTGCTCGCATGCAGCCTAGGTTAGCAGGGAACACGAGCATAGAGGACAAACACGTAATTGCCAGGAATCATTAAAAAAGTATGTGCATGCTGCGTGGCTTCAAGTAGGTGTCCACAGAGGTAGAATCTCCGTGGAACCCAAGGCCAGAAGTTCTGTTCACTTGTGTCACAGAGCTTTGAGAGACTCCTGGGGATCTAAATGCTGCAATGCTTAAAAACATGCAGAATCCACTCATTTCCAGCTTTTAAGGTCCCCCGGGCCCAGGATTACTCTCACCACAGTTTCAGTTACCTGCACTCAGTTGTGGTCCAAAGATATTAAATAGAAAATTTTCAGAAAGAATCAACTGGTCAGCTTTGAACTCAGCACCACTGTGGGGGAAATGATGGATTCTCCCACCACCATCTGATTTTGTCCTGTCTGGGGCAGGAGCCATCCCTTTCTTCATGCATCCGTGCTGTGCACACCACCCGGATGTTTTTTCCAGAACTGAGATTATGGGAACAAAATCATAGGTAAAGGCAAGCCAGTGTAAGGGACGGAATCCACAGACACCAGGACAACGCTGTCCTCTTTGGCGCTTTGTCTTGGTCATCAGGACCCTCATGGGATTGCACTGCTTGCACATGGGATCCAGGGCTACCCACAATTCCAACCACCTGCTGAGAATCTTGACGTGTACTCCTTGGGAGGTAGAGGGAAGTCCTGCGCTCTTCTGTGAGCTCACCCAAGCATGACAGTCAATGCATTCATAAAAATACACCTGCCCCTCTGTGTACCAGGCCCCAGGCTTCCATGCGCTTGGACCCTGAGGTCCCACTTACATTTTTGTTTCTCTCCTGGCTGGGCTCTCCTGGGGCAAGCTCTCCAATGAGCAGTGGCTTAAGGTACAGCGTCACCATGTCCAGATCCAGATGCATGGCTCTGAAGGCATCCTGCGGACCACAGAGCTCTGTTAGATGCTCAGAGGAGGCTAAGTATGAACAGACAGCTTGTACACATCCTCTCGTACTCAACCTGGGAACCAGCCAGATGTCACTGTGGAGGATTTGCTTCTGAGTCCACCAGGAGGCTTCCATCTCCTGCATGACCAGAGCAATACAGCCAGGCTTTCCTGGACCACTGGTACCACTGTTTATCTTACTGAGCACAGGATTTGTTCTGGTTCCCTGGCCATGAGGAATCTCTAGAGACCAGTATGGCTTTGTTTGGCAGTTGCTTATACTCACTGGCTATGCAAATCACATCTTCTGGTGAGGGTTCCCTCTTGGTTTGGTTTTGGGCCAAAGCCCAGGAGAGTTAGGCCCTGTGAATTAGTTATTTTTGGAGAGGGATGGATAACTTTGTTGACAACAATTTAAGAGAAAGACACATGGGATCATAGCAGTACAGTGTTAACTGCCTTGGTTATATATAGTACTACACTCCTGGCTAAGTTTGTTCCTGAGGGACCCTTGTCACTCCATAAAGATGTTGTTAAGTGGTTATTTCATGTGGCTGTGAGAAGTGGTAGGGTTTTTAGATCCTGTTATGTTTAGAAGTAAGAGGCCTTCCCTCCTCAGCATCCATATAGGTTTTGGGAAGAAGGACTCTACAAGGGAGAGATTTTGGGCCCCTATTATTATGGCGTGGAAGTGGAAGTAGTTAAAAATGAAGAAATATTGTAAGTTGAGTACATGGAAGCCATGTAAATGTTCTGGAGTAGTGTCCTTGCACAGCCTGGACTTGCAAAGCAGACCTGGAAGCCGGACCTAGAGCCTAGCTTCTGCCAGCTGTGTCTTATGAGCTCTTCTCTAACCAGGGCTAATGACTGCTCCCCTATTTATAAAGCTATTATGAGGGTTAAATGAATTAAGTACAGTGATGACTGACATATACAAAACTTATAGTACTTCTTATGTTTTTTTAATACACATGACTTTAATGATAACTTCCTATTTTCTCTTTCATACAGCAACTCAGAGATTTTCTTCTCACAGTCTACAGTCTGATGTACAGTGACCTATGAATTATGCCAGGGACTATCATGAGACTTACATTTTCAAATCCCGAAGCGACTTAGGATGACTCCAAGAACTATCTGGAGTGTACTGCTGAAGGTGCTGACATAGTGCCCGAGGGAGCCAGCAGGCTGTCTCAGCTCTAGGCTCACTTCCCTGAGGGCCGACAGATGACATGACACAGACAGCTTTAAGCTGCTGGAACCCATCTGGCTTCACCGACCATTCTGCATACGTTTCCCCACACCCTTGGGAAATTCTGAGCTATACAAGTGCCAACGATGTTTTAAAACATGTGATCCCAAAGCTTCGTTTGTTCCCTTTTGTAGGTAAAGAATGACTTAGTGAATAAGAAAAGTGAGTAGTGTATCCAGGATGACCCATACGAAAAGTGTCACACTGTGCTTGCTGTTTTAGAGCAGCTCAGGGTACAAAACGTTCTCATGCATCAAGGACAAGGTGCAGAGCATTGTACTCTAGTGGAATTTCGTCTCAGAGTGTGCTGATGCTAAGAACTCTCCGAGATCCTCATTTTCCTACTAGTGCACCAAAGTTATCAGGTCAATGCTGTGACCATGGACACTGAAGAGCTACAGAACTCTCCAGAATAGATGGCATTGACAGCCGGCATGGAAACTTGTCATTACATCAATGGACATAACAAGAAAGACTTCAGTGAGTCTTATACAGCCAAGATTTTCAGAGAATCCAGAAAGTGAGTTGTGAAATCCCTTCTTGAAAGTCCACAAAACGGGTTCTGTTACCGACATTCTTGGGCAAGCCCATTCCTGTTGTGAGAAGCGGGGTGGTAAAGATGGAGAGAAGAGGGTAGAGCGGGTGTTTACAGAGCAGATCCTAGCGCCGGGCTCTCTGTGGGCCACCCCCACCTATGGCCCGTGTTTGCAAGCCTCCATCGCTTTCGACCTACAGATGCCAAGTCTTAGATGGGAGACTCATTTTGCTTCCAAATGCTGCGGTCAGGAGTGCAGTCAGGATTTGAACTGCGAGCTACGTGACTCTGAAGTAGTGAAACCATGAGTTCACTGCAGCTTTGACGTGTATTTCTTTTTCCAAAAGGTGCGAGAGTAGATTGCTTGGAGATGACACTGAAGCCAGTATCTTCTGGGCGGTTATGGTCATGGTGTCTCCCACCTTAGGGTTTAATCATTCCAAGCACTTCACTGCTGGCTCAGATCTCTCTACATCTTTCTCCTGCACTACTTCCTGCCCGGGAGCCTCCCCACTCAACAAACGTCCTCTGCCCCTCTATGGATCAGAGGTTCCCAAGCGCAGCTTTTTTTTTTTTTTTTTTTTTTTTTTTTTTTTGCCTTGACTGCCTTCTTCCACTTACAAGGCACATAAAATCCCTCCTGATCCCTAAAACTGCATTGCGTACAGCCTCTGCCTAGCTCACTCAGGAAGGTTGTTCATGACTGAAAGCTGGAACCCAGGACATTTCATTCTCAGAGCTTTAAAAATATTGTTGTCAGGAACTGATCGGGCTGTGACCATGTATGCTTGTAAGCCATTGTCACCCAATGTCTATCACAGTGCTTGGACAATGGTGTGGGCTGAATGCCTGCCTGGGCCATGAGGGAAAGTGGCCATGAACAGGCAGGGCCAGGGAGTCTGTGACAGGGGGCTGGGTAAGCTCAGTGCTTTCTCAGAAGATGTGGGAGGTCAGTGCTGTTGTCCTTTCTGTCTTCAGCATCTCTACGCTTTGACACCTCTGCTACTTTGGCAGCCCCCACTTCCATTTGGCAGCCTCTAGCTCCCTTCAACATTACCATGTTCTTTCCTTAGGTTATTCGTAAAGGTATTTTAGGGTTCATCTAGAAGATGGTTGCATTTCACAATAGTAACCAACATGGGGAAGATGTGATTTTTACTCTGATTTCACCAATGCCTTGGAGATGCTGCAGGTTTTGAGGTCATTTAGCAGGAGATACAGTGACAGGCTTCATGGCTGGGCTGTAGAATCCCCAGAGAGAGCCAAATGTGAGAAGTCAGAGGGCCTGAAACTTAAGTGTTGGGAACAGGTTGGCCCTGAACACCCAGCAAGAGGGCAAGTGTGGCCTGGGTCCTACCAACATTCTGTGGGTGAGCCCTGTGCCTATGTGGCTACACGCAGACCAGGGTGGGCCTTTACAAAGTCAAACCAAGGTCATTTTCACTTCTGCCTCTGAGAATTATCTACTCATCTCAAATGTCCATTTTTGGTTTGGGTTTTTCAATTTGGGAACCTGATTTCCATTTTTGAGTTCTTTATATATTGTAGATATTAGTTGTTTTTCTGAGAAACAGCTGGAAAACCTTTTTTCTCACTCTGTAGGCTGTCTTTTCATTTTGTTGGTAATTTACTTTTTTTCTGTGCAAAGCTTTTTAATAACATGCAATCCCAGTTGTTGATTCTTTATGATATTTCCTGAATTTTGTTCATAAAGTCTTTATCTATGTCTTCAAGAATTCTATCTATTCTCTTTTCTAGTAGACTTACTGTTCCTGTTTTAATATTTAGATCCTTGATGAAGAAGTATAAATGGCAAGTAAATATATGAAAAAATGTTCAACATCACTGGTCATTAGAGAGAGGCAAATTAAAACAACACTGGGATTCCATCTCCAGAAAGAATGGATATCATCAAAAAGTCAACCAATAACAAATGCTGGAGGGGTTGTGGGGGAAAAATGAATCTTTGTTTGGAGTGCAGACTGGTGCATCCACTGTGGAAATCAGTATGTTTACTCAGAAACTAAAACTGTAGGTCCCATTTGACCCAATTATCCACTTCTTGATCTTCCTGAAAGAATTAAAAGCATCATACTACATAGATGTATGTATACCCATGTTCAAAGAACCACAGTTTTCAAGAGCTAAATCTTGGAAACAACCCAAATGTCAATCAACTAAAGATAAAGAGGATGTGGTTTTTGTTTTTTTTTTCATATAGTGGAATATTGTTCAGCTGTAAAGGAGGATAAACTTGAACCATTTCTAGGTAAATGGATGCACCTTCAAATCATACTCTTCAGTAAATTTAAATCTGACCCACACCTAAATGTTGCACTGTCTCTCCTAAGAAACCAAAAGTGTAAATAAAGAGCAAAATACATAATAGATATTGTTGAAATAGAAAAACAACGCGTTCAAATGGGAAGGGGAACTAGGAAGAGGAAGTGGGGAAAGGAAGGAAGAGAAAGCATGAGAAAAGAAAGGACAGAAACAAAACTATGCAAATAAGACGAGGAAGGGGGTTAGGAGGAAGGAGAGGAAAATGGGAAAAAGAATTAAGACACAGCATGCACAGGTACACATTGCCTATGATCAAGGTAATCAGTATGTAGGTGGAAAATGTACCAGTAAACTTAATTAAAAAATAATAACCTTGGGGCCGGCAAGATAGCTCATCGGTCTAAAGCGCTTGCTTAGGTGAGCTTAGGCAATCACAGGGACCGTGGTGCAGGGACCATGGTTCGATCCCCAGCACCACATGCCTCACCAGCCCCGCCCCCAAGGCAGGCTGAGCTGGACACACACACACACACACACACACACACACACACACACACACACCTCTCTCCCATCAAGGCATGATAGAGGCGAGCAGTTGGGAAGGCTCTGCTTCAGAGCAGGCAAACCACTTCATTTCTCCAAGCCTGTCTTCTAAATGGCTGTAATACTGCCTTATCTTCCTTGTGGGCGCCTTAATTTCAGTCATTCCGAAACCCACGCAGGACCCTGCCTCATCACTCAGGACTTAGGCTCTGCAGTTGGAGAACCAGCCTGTCTGTACACTCTTACTTATTTCACTGAGAGGGCTTGACATTTTCCAAAGAAGTAGCCTAAGTAGGAACCCTAAATTAAAAACAAACGAAACAAGAAAGCAAAAACACCGCTGGAGAACACGCAGCACCCAAGACGACACAGGCTTGCA